GGTTGTGCTGGGTCTGCCCTGTCTTTAGGCCAGGATTGGCCAACTTCCGTGCCTACAAGGGCCACACTGGTAATGGGGATGCTGGGCCCTGCCTACTGGGAGTACTGCTGTTCATTTTCAGCAGATTTATCTCAAATAGAAATTCTAATTTTTATGTGAAATACAGCAATTTTTAGGTATTGGATGTGTATGTAGTTCATGCTTGAGAAAGTAAAGTGCTGACTACGTCTCTCATGTGCCTTCTGGTTTTAGCACATGCTATTCCTCCTTACTTCCTGTTCCTCCACCCAGCTAATGCCTATTGGTATCTTGACCTGGTTTAGCTATAATTTCTTATCTTAAATACAGCTGGTAAGCAATATTATAATTTCCTTTTTAGCCTTTTGTTTTGTCCTCCAGTGTGTAGATTCCTTGAAGGCCTTCAGTACATACCAATCGAATGAGTGACAGTGGGTAAGATGTCATCTCAGGACACACATGAGAGTTTTGGTCTCTCTGGTGGTTTAGAAAAGGTTCCCTTTCCAACGCTTCTCCCGGAATCTCTGGATCAACCCTGTAATGGAGCTTGTCTCCCAGATTCCTGTTTTCTCAGACTGCCTTGGGAAGAAGGAGGGTGGGAAGAGGGCAGGTATGGGGAGATTTGGGGCACAGAGGCCTCTTTCTTAAATCATGCTGTTATTTACTGCTACTGCCTTAGTCCTGCCGTGTTCTCTTTATTTCCCCTCAGTCGACATATTTTAGCGAAGGTAGAGTGCAGATGTGTTTTTGTGACTCAAAGCCATATGAAGCCAAAATGAGGCTTTCTCTTGTCATAATTAGAAGTAGGGCCTTAGGCTGTTTACTGCCTCTAAAATAAACTTGGTGCTTAGCTTCTCAGTTGCAACACTTTCCAGCTTTTATGAAAAAAGTAAACAAAAATAAAATGTTATTTTAAATGTAGTGTCAAAAATTAAATAAATTACCCTCAATAGTGTCGTATATTTTTTTAAAAATTGTTTTGGAAGGACTCTTCAGCAAAAACTCCACAGCAAACCCATATCCCCAAAAAACAACAAAAAAAATTGCTTCATTTGGCAACTGGTGATAACTCATCCTATTATAACTATATAGTCTGTTTCTTTATTTTCTTTCTTGGATTATATGTGGAGTCAGTCTGGTGTAGCAATGTGAAACTTAGTTCCATTGCCAGGCTGTGTGGGTTCAATTCTCAGCTCTACCATATATCAGCTATATAATCATGGGCCAGTAGCATAACTTCTCTGTCTGTTACTTCTTCTGTAAAATGGAGACCATAATAGTGCCTAGCTCATAGGCTTATTGTGAGGATTAAATGAGAAAAGTAAAATCTTTATAATAGTGCCTGATATAGAATGACTGTATACATATTTACTTATTGTTTTTTAAAGTCAAGTTTATGAATGTATAATTTGGGGTGTAATTTTCATGCAATAAAATTCACCCTTTATGATGTACAATTCTGTGACTTTTGACAAGTACATGTAGTCATATAACCACCACTGCAACCAAGATATAGAACATTTCTATCATCCCCAGAAGTTCTGTCCTCTTTGCAGTGGATATTCCCTGCCCCCAACACCCAAACCCTGGCAATCACTGATCTGTTTTCTGACCCTATACATTTGTTTTTATAAAACAGCATATACACGAAATCATACCATATGTAGGCTTCTGGGTCTAGCTTCTTTCACTTGGCACAGAGATTGGCAAACTTTTCGGTAAAGGGCCAGGTAGCCAGTGTTTTAAGCTCGCAGGCTATTTGGTCTTTGTTGATGCTCATTCTGCTGTTGCATGCATGGACTGCACATGAATGATTATGTGTGTCCCAATAAGAGTTTATTTGTTAAAACAGTAGATGGTAGTCCTGACTGTTGCAGTTCAGTTGTTTGAGTGTCAACCTGTGCACTGAAAGGTTGTGGGTTTGATTCCCAGTCAGTGCACATGCCCGGGTTGTGGGTTTGGTCCCTGGTCAGTGTGTGTATTGGAGAAAGCGATCGATGTTTCTCTTTCACATCAATGTTTCTCTTCCCCTCTTATTTTAAAAAATTAAAAAACAAAACCAACCAAACAAACAAACAAAAAACAAGGGGGCAGCCGGATTTAGTTGGAAAACCATCATTTGCTGACTATGACTTAGCATGATGAATATGAGATTTATTCATGTCATTGCATCTATCAGTAGTTTGTTCTTTTTATTGTCAATTATTACTCCTTTCCATAGGTGTATGGCAGTTTGTTTAGTCAATTGAAGGATATTTGAGATTTTCCTAATTTTTGGCAATTATAAATAAAGCCACTGTAGACATGTGCCTGCAGGTTTTTGTATTAATATAGATTTTCATTTCTCTTGAGTAATTGCCTAAGAGGAGGATTGCTGCATTATATGGTACAAGTATGTTTCTCTTTATGAGAAACTCCCAAACTGTTTACCAACATGGCTGTGTCACTTGGTGTTTCTCCCAGCAGCGTAGGTCAGTTCCTGCCGTGTTGTGTCCTCACCAGCACTGGTTTTGTCTGCTCTAAAACACTAGGAAGCACCTTGGAAACCAGAGTACAGATGCATACATTTAACTGAAATTAAGTTTGAAGCTCTTGAAGGGTTTTTACACATGAGAATGACATTAGTTGGTTTTTAAATGATTACCCAGCTGCAGTGTAGAAATGACTTGCAAGGACACATGGTACATGTGTGAAGACCTGTGGGAGGATATCATACTAATATAAGGGTGAGGAAAGATAGTTTACTTGAAAGATGGCAGTGAAGATTAAGTGACTAGAGGTGAGATTTTTTTAGGAGGTAGAGTTGGTTGAATTCAGTGATTCATCAGATAGGGGAATTGAGAGAGTAGTACAAGCAACTAGATGTATAATGGTACCTTTACTGAGATGAGGAACACTGGCTGGGAAAACAAGTTTGGGGAGATGAAGTCATCAGTTCAATTTTGAAATATATGTGAGACATCCAAATGGAAGTACCAAGTAGGTAGTTTGATATCTGCTTCTGGAACAGGGGAACAACATTGGAAGCCAGTGTAGTCTAAAAGATTTCCGACAATATGGAGGTAGAAGAGATTCCCTAGAGTTTTTAGTGATCTGAGAATAGTGACTAGGATGTATCCAAGAGGAGCCTCAGTGTTTAATGTTGGGCAGTAGAGGGCTATCCAAGGAAAGTAGGAGAGAGTGGTAAAAAGGCAAGGGGTGAGGGGGAATCTCAATGCAGAAGGTTTTCTCCCAGGTGCCAAGGTGAGTGAACACTTATGTGTGTGCTGAGATAACAACTAAAATGAGGGATGCAACATGCCCATTAAATTTAGCACCATAGTGGACCTTAGCCCAGAACATGGGGAAATAATTTTTAGCAGACAACTGGAAGAAGTTATGTAAAGGAGAATAAGATTTTTGTGGTTTCGCATCTAAATTAATAGCCTAAAAATTATGGTACCCGATTATAACTTTTTGTTTTTATGACACTTAGTAAAATATGTTTTGAAAGTTCCCTTTTATATGCTATTAAGGAATCAACAACAATAGATCTTTGGTGGTACTTTATAGTTGACCAATTGCTTTCATAGCACTGTACCATTCAGACAGAGGAAGACTCAGAGAGGAAGAGATAGAAACATCACAGGGCTGTTATCCCATTCTGCAAGTGGAGAAACCAAGGTCCAGAGAAATAATGGGTCAAAAGTCACATTGCTGGTAAACAAGAGTGCTAAGACCTAAATAGCACCTTCTGACCCAAATCTAGTTTCTCAGTGTACTCCGTAGCTTCTAGATTTATTTTTATAGAAATACAATTGGCTTGATTATAATTAAATCTGACTATAAGGAGAACTGTGGTTTACTTTATTTAAATGAATAAAAATCACCAGAACAATCTCTTGGTTAGCCCTAAGGCCACCTTTTCTTGCGAACTGTGGCCTTCAAAGTGTCTTATGTGGCCCCGGCAACAGAATTGGGAACAACACTGCATAATAGCTTATGCAGATGCTGGGATTTAAAGAAAAGAACACAGAAGTGATATATATATCTGTGGATAATGATCTATTAGAGTCATGTTGGCCAGCACTGTTCAATGTAGTGAATGTACCTAGCATTAACATTTCAGGAAAAATACCAGATACTCATCTATTTGTCTAGGCTTTTAACTCTGACTTCTGGCAGCTGCTTTTTTTTTTTTTTTTTTTAACATCAGCATCATTCGGATTTAGGATGGTAAATTACATTCTAATGAGAGAAGGTCATTATTCTTTAGGGGGACTATGACTGGATTTAATTATATTACTGTTAAAGCTTTCAAAAATCAAAATAGTGTGTGTTAAATGTATACAATTTATAGTTTTATATCGAAACATTTAATGGGTAAACTGCTGACTAAAATCTTTGAAAAATATCATTCCCATTGGCCTTAGCTGATTATTTAAACTTGCGTTAATCAGATTCCGTTTCACTGTACTGGCTTAAATTTATAGACCCCCAAACTCTAGAATATATATTTATCAGGGGAATTAAAGAATGAAGAGCACATACTTTTAAGAGATTGCGGAAAGTCATAAAGTGCCTTTCCTCCTCCTTCCAAAACTTTTAAATATTGTTTGACTGAAATGCTGCTACTGGATAAAAACATATCCTTATGGTCTCTATAAATTGTCTTAGACAAGGTATTTGGGAATTGCCATACAGTGTGGGAAATAATTAAAGTTGTCTGCATATGAAACCCAAACAAGCAGCTGAGAGATTGAATCTGAAACCGAGTGTTCCATGGCTCAATAGTTGTGATTCATGGTGGGGGAAAGAAAAACACCAAGATTTTAAGGACCCCCTCCCCCAAGATAATTGGTCCTATAACTCCATGTGAACTGTGGACTGTGGTCTAGCTCTGGTATTCCTTATCTTCCTTCTAGATCTCATTTAGCATGTTGTAGAATGTATGAAGTGGGCATTCCAGATAAAGAACTGAAAATGGTCTCCTTTTCCATCAGATGACCCTGGCCTATGTTGAAGCAGCAGAGTGCCTTTCAGAACCTGTGAACAGGGAGCCTCCTTCCAGAGAAGCTCAGATACTGACTTTGCAGAACACGTCTGAGTTTGATGTCCTTGTCATTGGAGGCGGGGCAACAGGATGTGGCTGTGCGCTAGATGCTGTCACCAGAGGTGAGTCCTCCGTGTGTGAATGTTACATAGATAAGGAAGGGTTCCCTCTTGCTTCTGCAGTATAAACGCACAGTAGGCATTCTATGCCAGTGGTCACGTTTCTGTTGTATTTACTAGTTTTCCATCCATTGTAAAGCACCTTCATGCTTTTCAAATGTAGGTGTTTGTGCAATTTTAAGATTAAATATAATTCTTTTATACTAAAGTGAATTTAAAAAGGAAACTTTGTATTCCTGTGATCTTATTGATCTAACTTTCTTATTAATTTTTAATACATAGTAAAGTAAATACATCTGTATGAAATAAAAATATTTATATATGACCTGAAATCACATTTATGTCAGTAAAGAGTAGAAAAGATTTATTAAAGGAATTATTCTATTAAAATAATTATTTTTGTTTCTGTGTCCTTTTTTTATTTTTATTTTTAAAAATTATATTGAATTTTAGAGAGAAAGGAAGGGAGAGGGAGACAGATAGAAACATCGATGAGAGAGAACATCAATTGGCTACCTCCTGCACACTCCCCACTGGGGATTGGCCTACAACCTGGGCATGTGTTCTGACCAGGAATTAAACTGGCAACCTCTTGGTTAATGGGTCGATTCCCAACCACTGAGCCACACTGGCTAGTCTATTCCTGTGTTCCTGTATCTCGTAAAATCATTTCTTCTAGTGAAATATGGACTGCAGTTTGGGAAACTCCAGCATATGTGAATAGATAGACTGTTGCTAACCTATTCTCTCTTGGTCACTCTGTCAGTCAACGTTAAGAAAGATAAGAGGAAAAGTTCTTTACAAGTGGAAACATGACCTAGAAAGGAAATTTCTGTATGGAACACCAATGCTATTACATAAGATATATTTAATAAAATAATGTTTTCCCCTGTGGTTATGAGTGTGGAGTTATACACACAAACACAAGGTAAATTACTTACTTTCTCTAAAATTCCTCATCTTTCAAGTAAAAAAAAATGCCTTCTGTCAACGATGTTGAGAGGATTAAATGTGTAGTCATGAAGACTTGAAAACAGTGTATGTCATCCTGGCCGGATTGGCTTAGCAGTGTAGAAAGAAGGATTATAGGTTCAATTCCCAATCAAGGGCATGCACCTGGGTTGCAGGTTTGATCCCAGCCCTGGCCAACTCGGAGCCAACCAGTTGATGTTTCTCACTCACATTGATGTTCCCTCTCTCTCTCCCTCCCTCTCTTCCTTCAATTCTGTCTAAAAGTCAATGGAAAATTGTCCTTGAGTGAGGATTAAAACAAAAAGAAAATAAAAAACAGTACTTATTACACAAAGTAGAAATTCAATAAATTTTGGATAGTATTAGAGCTGTCATTATTAACATGAAGGCATGAGACTTTTAGAACCAATTGTCCTAGGAAAGAATGCTCCTTGGTGACCTTAGATGTATAGAATGGGGGGCTGTGTGCAGCTACAAGGAATTTTGACTGGATATTTCAGGTACTACCTGAGGTTCAATATTTATTGCTACCACAGCTATTCTAGATTTTGTTACTTACATACCTGATAGAATTTACTCTTATAGAAATGAATTATATTTAGGGAGATTTAGGTACACACAAACAAAAAAGTGCCCTAGATTTGCTATCATTGCACAGGATCCACACTTAAATTTGGATCTATGTGAATTTCAAGCCTATGTCCTTTCTGTCACTTCTAAATACTGGTAAATAAAAAATACAGGCCCCGAAAGCCGTTCTCTTGCCAGGCAGACCCCAATTTTCATATAATTCCCCATCTTCATGATTTATAATTTGAGTCAGATTATCCTTGGACATACTAAAGCAGAAGGAAAGAGTATTTACAGTTACCTCAGGGCATTTGAACTCAACTCTTTCCCGCGGAGGCCTGGGAAGGAGAGTGGGAAGAGAGCACATCCCAACACAGGATGCTCACGTTTCGTTAGTGTGTGTTTGTATATGCTGAATTACACTAGAGACGATGTATCTTTCAGAAAGTTTGGGGCATTATGGATGTATAAAGGCGGGCGAGAATGTCTGAAGAGAAAGGACAGGAGAAAGAAAGCTGTTATTTGCATAGGTAGAATTTTAATAGGCAAGCACTGCTGGCTGGAAGTGTTCCGGTCCGAAGGAACATGCAGGAGGAACAGCGTGTGTTTCAGTGCAGAGCATCCCAGCTGTGGTGGTGGTGGGGAGGGAGAGAAGGAGGGACAGGCAAAACTGGCCCTGGTGCTGCAGGCAATGTGCTCTGGACTTGACTTTGTGATCCGTAAGAGCATTCGGCTTGGTGAAGAGGAATGGATGGGTAGTAAGGAAGGAGTAGTCATGGGCATGCACTTTTGAGAGATCTAACTTGATAGTATAGTAGGATGTAAAGAAGGGAGGTAATATGTGCAAGAACTTTTCCTCCCTCCCTCCCCCCTCCCTCCCTTCCCCCTCCCTCCCTCCCTCCCTCCCTCCCTCCCTTCCTCCCTCCCTCTCTCCTCCCTTCCTTCCCACCTTTCTCTTTTTATTTTTAAAGATAGGAGCAATCTGACTATTTCTGTAGACTCAGAGGTAAAAGTCAGTGCAGGAGAACTTGAATATGCAAGTCGTAGAAGTCAGTATGTGGAAGAAGATCTGGTGAAAATATAAGGAATGGCATATCAGAGCTGTGTCCTAGCTTTGGCAAGGCAAAGGGCAGAAACAAAGGGCAAAGATTCTGAGATATAAAAGAGGAGAGTGTGTGACTAGGAAGAGCTGATCTTAAATGCTGTGTTCGACCGGTGGGTAGGATAAAGGACTTCCGTGTACAAAAGGTTCACAACTACCTTATGGAGAATGTGATAGGGTGTAGGGTTACTTTGCTGAGATTAGTAAATGTAAATTTGTTATCTACACGGGATATTTGTGTGTGTGTGTCTGTTCTCATATCTGTCTAGTGTTGCTCAGAGTGGAGGCAGAAAAAGTGCACAATTTGGTAGAATCCAGAATTGAGAACTGACTGGGTGTCAGTGATAGGAGGAGAACATGCAAAGAGAGTCTATGAAGACCTAGGACTGGTAGGAGGAGGTAAGGGAAGTCGGAATCAGCTTAATTTAAAGAGCTAGGGTTGTTAAAGGACTGGGAATGAAATAATTTTAAGCCAACCACTATTAAATACCTTTCATTCCTTTTGAAAATTCTCATCTATGCTTACTTTGTGTACTTTCTACATATGTCTTTTAAAAAATACAACATCATACTGTAGTTATTATTTTGCAGTGTCTAAATATCAGTATATTTAGCCAATGTTTAATTTTTATAGTTAGTAACAGCAAAGACAATGATATACTTTTAATATCTCTTGGCATATTGATTGTTGTCTTCTAGAATAGTCGACTGAATGTGTTATTTCATATATGTGAAATTATGATTTATAAAGGGGATGGTCGAACCTTAGTTTGTATTTCTTTTTTTATGCTGGTAGCTCTCTGGGGGTAGCCTGTATAATTAAAATATATAGAGATGCTGAAGTTAATCTATATTTATCCTTTTACTACAATTTCTGATCATATCAGTGGCTCTCTGAAGTGTGAAATAGTCATGGGCATTTGGTTAATGAATTGTGCATTGTTGCTGTTCATTCATGGAATTTGCTCTTTTATTATATTTGATGCTTCACTTAACAACAAATTTTGCTTTCTCTGCATTTGATATGTTTTTACCAAATTATTCCTGATTGTATCCATTAATCTTTAGTCACATATGACAAAAATAAATTACTGTGATCTTTTAAAGTTACCAGTAATAATTAGATTTTTCAGGACATCAAAGTTTTGGGGGAACACTAGATGTTTAAGGGCTTGTATAAAAATGTTTGCACAAGCTTTTTGATAAAATACGATGCCCCAGTGCAATTTGGGTAATGGATAAACAAAGAGTGCACACGGAAGAGTAAAAAGTTATGAAGTCTCATCATGAACATTTATTTGCATTCTTACCATCTGCATTTTCTGGGGAATCAACTTTCATTTTGGAATATTATGTTATAAACATAATATGTACAATTCTCCTCATGTTCTCCTGCAGGTCTCTAGGGTCAATAGAAATATTTCACTGTTTAACACTTCTGTGTCCAGTTCCTGGACAGAAGCACAGCCTTGAAACCCAGGTGTAGGCTCTTTGTCTCCAAAGACAGCTGGAACGAGGACATGCTGATAAATATATTTACTCCTTAGCGTTCTCCAAGGTGTTTTCTTCAGTTCATTTTGTTTGTTTGAAAATGTATACCTACTTTTAGTTTATGAGTAGATCTGACTAGCAGTTCCTGAATTCTCACCACAGTTCCTTCAAGTCTAAGGCAGTATGGCACAGTGATTAGGACTCAGGTTTTAGACTTAGAATGAACTGGGATCAAATTTTGGCTTCATCCTTTACTAGCGCCGTGACTTTCCACAGGTGTCTTAACCTACAGAGAGCCTCAGGTTTCTCAGACGTAAACGAAGGAGTGTAATAACACTCTCTGCATAAGTAAAGGTTTGCAAAAAGCAGGAGGTGTGTGCATTACAGAAAAAAAATGCAGAAAGGGAGAGCCTGGAAGATAGTGCATTGTGGGAATGACAGGCCTCTACCCCGCTCACCGTTTCTACCATCACCTTCTCCACCACAAGGGAACAGAAAGTCCTGGTTCAGGACAGTGAACTGCAGCAGATGAAAGTTTGCTGCTACTTAGACTAGACTACCAGTTGCTACTAAAGTTTATCTGGAAATTTAATGTAATTTTAATTGCCATAGTATTTTTCTTTGGCAAGAGTTGGGGAGGGGGGCTTGAGAAACTGCTAATGTTTATTGGTAAAAATAAGCCTATGAGATTTATTAGAGTAGTTTTGAAAAAGAATAATGATAAAGGAGGTGGAGAACTTTAATATCTATTAAAGTGTATTCTAAAGCTATTTTAACTAAAATAATTTGTTAAAGGAACAGAGAGATCAGTGGAATAAAAGTTAGAGTCTAAAATTTATCTAAATACATAAAATTTAGAATCTGGTAA